AGTGTGTGAATGAGAACTGTATGTTGATCGTCGCTGAATGAAATAAAATGCGCCAGGGAGTCCGAGCAGAATGTCACAAAATGAAACAGAAAACGAAACATCACAATTGTCGGGACAGCGAAACGAAGATTGAGAAAACATGAAAATGACAATTAATCCTGATGCTTAATGAAACATTGCGTACAGAAAAAACTCATTTACCTCGAAGCTGCAGAGCGACGGAGTTCGTTCTGACAGGTGACTTTTCTGACGACGGCAACGAACGATAGGTTGACTTAGGCGACTGGATGGTCGAATAAGGAGACCAGCGATCGTTTACTGACAAACTGTCCCCGGCAAGCTGCTGCTATAAGTACATAGTAATGTGCAAAATTTACGCACAACAACAACTGATAGCATACACGCAGAGGCAGAGATAAAAAGAAATGAATGCCATGGTTCAGAGAGAAATGACAAAACTCTGTCTAAGGAAAACAAAAAAGTTATCTGTTCTCGAGAGAGCCATTATCGGCGTTACTTCTAGGAGAGCTGGAAATGAGTGAAAAGTGCTGAAAGTCACAACAGACATAGAGGTCTGTCCTGCACATGGCTGATTGTCGGCTAAAAAGCGATCGCTTTCGAGCCTGAAAAATTTACGAATGTAAAATAAACCTAAAGATCATAAATTAAGACGGGAGGTACGAGATCCTCGTTTTATTTATTGAACGAAAGCATGGGAAAGTATCGAGGCTTGTACATCCTGTTATTCCTGTACAGAATATGACTACTGGAGATATAAGCATTAAATGCCTAATACTCATATGCCTAAAAGGCGATGAGAAAATAAGACATGTGAATATGTACTTCGTTGATCAGCTGCCTAAGCCGTTTAAGCTGAATTTCCAGCTGTCTGTTGTGGTCCTCGAGAATTCGGCTGCGCTGTTCTAGTCGCTGCTTGTGCTGTCTAAGAGATCGCGCTTCGTTCAGAAGCTCTTTCTCATCCATCACCATGTCGCCGTCGGTCAAAGCGGAACTCTCACCGGTGACTGGCTGCCTACTAGGGGTCTTTGGAAGACTGTTCGTCGAACGATGAGGACCTTTGCGACTCAAAGAGCCGTTCGTCATCGGTAGCAAGGGCGTAGATAAAGTGCTCTGCAACATCGCTGACTGACCTGGCATCGATCCCACTGTTCTTTTCAGTTTTTCGTATTCCTCCGTTAACCTCCTAAATTAAATAACATTGGAAGTTCAATAAACGAATGCAGGATCTGCAACAGACGCAGTTTTAACAAACAACTAACAATAAACGGTAAAACCATATAAATAAAAATAAGGCATAAGAACATTTAGTATTTTACGTATTCCATATATCATACCGTAACAATGACCCTATTTAAATATATATTGTTTCTGACAGCAAACATTCGCCAATGCTTTCCACAAAGCTAATTAAAGAGACGCAGAAAATGACAGCACTCGGGATAATAGGCGTGGCTAACAACAGAAAGCACCTCAGAATGACTACGTTCAGGCAAAATACTGTCGCTTAACCTCTCAAATTAGTGCTTTGAAAAGTGAAGATTTTAGAGTACACATGATCGTTGCTGAAGCTGGAACATGTACGCAGCTCCCAACGAATTCCTTTATAACGAGCTACTTCGCATGTCGAAGTGCTATGCTGGTTCTTACAATCTCTGTGCAGAACAGCGATAATGTTTACAGTGCAGAATTAGACACAATCAATAGTAACAAAACTTTTATATAACATAGATAGTAACTTATATATAACACATAGTGTAACTACAGTTTTAACAAATAATAATACAAAGCCTATAATATCTGGCCAGTTCGAAGGGAGGAGAGTTATTAGGAACCGTTACGCTGACCATGGTCCACAAAAGTCACCCATCCTCCCGTTAGAATTATGAAGAGCAGGCAACGCCCAACGCAAGGTAATGCTTGGCTGGGCGAAGTACGATGGAATGTATCCATCCAAACCGCTATGGCTGCTATGAACCCCGAAACGGACCGCTAACGAGGCTTTGGCCAATCACCCACTGAGCGGAATGAGCTGCGAAATCAAAAACTGCACAAAATTTATCCAATAGACCGGATTTTATTGGTATCAGAGCAGAAAATCTCATTAGCTACGAGCCTGGATCCTAAAAACTTCAGAACGGCAGAAAATATTTGTCAGCACTAAATGTCGGACAGTTTGTCGCATGGAATGTGTGAACGTTAAGCAAACCTGGACGGTCTACATTGGCTGCAAAACGGAATCGCATGGGAATACAGGTTGCTGCAATACAAGAAACGCGCTGGCTTAGAAACAATAGCTTACATTGTTCAGAAAATACAACGTAATGCTTCGCACACAGAGGTGGATTTGCCTGGCAGTCAGCAGAAACGCAGAATGAGCTCTCCCACACTGCAGCGTCATATCTGATAAATAATTATAACAAGGTTCAGGTCCAGGTATGGAGAACTTGGTATCGTGGCAGTTGATTGTAATACCCCCATCGAAGCTGCAGCAGGAGCGGCAGCAGTGCCGAACATATGATATCTTGATTGTTCTTTGTGATTTCAGTGCGAAAGCGGGAACAAAGAATGTGTAATACAGATGAATTGGAGCATGCGGTATTGGATAAATGAATGATAACAGCAAACGATTAGCAGACTTGCATGAGATGCACGATCAACTTAGCGGAATGCATTCCTTACAACTAATGCATAAGATCACACGGCACTCAGCTGATGCATAAACGGGAAATCAGACTGACAATTTTATCATAGAATTTTTTCAGAAGTTACCGATTATGCTTAAATGTCAGGGAGTGTAGCACTGCTGAATGCAGCAGCGACGATGAGCTGGTGATGTTTCAAGTCAAAGTCAAACTGCTGTCCTGGTTAGCGGCCAAAAATCTACCCCAGAGTTTGAAATCGACAGTGTGAAAAGTAAAGAAATATCCCAAGCACATCAGGCAATCGTCGATCAAAGATTCAAGCATCTCACTGATTATATCAGCGATATGTCGGTAGAGGAAGCTCGGAACATATACACTGAAGCAAGACACAATTGGGACGGAAGAAAAGACAAAGGAAGCAGTGAGTAAGTTTAGAAACTAAACACTTACAAGATAACTGCCGGCTTGCCAAAACTGATAGTATATAAAGTTTCAGAAAAGACGCATAAGAAATTATAAACTCACTACGGAAAGATAAAGCACTTTTCTGGAGGTGGGAGGATGAAATAAGGGAAAATGAGGCCTAGAAAAATGGTATAATAACCCTGTTTAGGAAACTCCATTGATACTTTGACAAAAAGAAGCCTCGAAAAACAACCACTACGCATGAAGACGGTAACACCACGTCTGACCCTAGAAAAGTCATTGAAATATGAGAACAGCACTTGAAATCAATATAAAACCCAGAAGTAATTGTGAAACAACTGCATGAAATTATACTTGGACAAAATATGAACGCGAATTCTTGAAGATGTGACTGACGCCTTATGATAAGTGAAAAATGGCAAAACTGCAAAAATAGATTAAATACAATCAG